TCCTTTATCTGTAGTAGAAAGATTTCATGTGTTCTTTCTTTCTACCTATTGTTGGATAGACAGTAACATATAACATTTTGTACCACCTACTCACTGCTATTGGCACTCTTAGATTTCGCAACTTAATTTGAATGGGGTAGTCTATAGTTATTAAAGAAGTCTGGGCAAGTTGTGTTGTGCATAAGAGTTCCTGGTATATCTATTGGGTATCTTTAGGAGCTTGGCAGTTGGACCTCCACATCTTGTCAAATATTAATGTCCACTGAAGCTAGAATTGGTTCACCAGCTTTCACAGTTTCTTGTCTCTTATCACTGGTCTGCAGTAAGGAATTGAGACAACAACAATCCAGTATAATCTCACTAGTGGGGTCTGGGGAGGGTAGTGTGTACGCAGACCTTACCCCTACCCCTGGGGTAGAGAGGCTGTTTCCAATAGACCCTCGGCTCCTCCCTCCAAGAACTCCCCACCTTGCTCTTGGGGTGACTCGAACTCACAACTTCTTGGTTGGAAGTGGAGGGTGCTCACCAGTAGAGCAACACACTCTTGTCAAAATGCCGTTTGACATGCTGGTTTGAGTTTGACTTTGCTGAAAAATAAGATTGATATAGTTCTTCTCCATTGCTGTTGGTCAAGGTGTGCTTAAGGAAGGCAGTGAAAATCAATCATTTTACCTAGCTAGAGTTGTAGTTGCACTATAATGTTATGAGTCAATGAACAGTCAACAGGTTTGATTGACTGGTGGTAAAGTAAATTAAAGCCTGCTTCTAACAAATTAGAAGCTTATGCGTGTATTGGAGGAAGAGTAGTTTGTGTATTGCTTCTTGTCCACTACAATAACCATCACTTTGGCAACCATTACGTACAGAATTTGAGGTCGCACATTAACTTATCTTGGATCCACCGCTATTTTTAACCAGAATGCGATGAAAGAAGGGTTGTGTAATATGTTTGCATTTATATGACATCTTGTTATATAGTGCAGGCTTATATAGATATCAATGCATAATTTATGAGTTGTTCATTCAGATTGCTCGCCGCTTGTTGGGTAAAATTATGATTGATCTAAGGAATACCCGTGAAGAAGCTCTAAGTGTGGCTGAGTTGAAAGGTTGTCAAGACAATCATTTGGCAGTGAATAAGACAACAAAGGAAGATACAGAGCACCATACCAAGCCTCACACTCGGAATGAAGAGTCTAGAAGAACTAGCTTCAATAGTGAGAGATCCATGGATCAAGATGATGATGATGACAAAGAGACTAAGTACCGCTTAGATCCAAAGTATGTGGTCCCTTGTGTTCCCTTAATTAGATGTTCAACAAACTTGTATTTCCCACTGTTATTTTTGTTTTTATCTAGAAATGTCTCTGTAAATCAAGATAAGAATGCAGAAATACTTTTTTGTATTATATTTGATTATTTTGTGCTTTACCTTTTCAGGTATGCAAATGTCAGAACTCCTGAAAGACATGTGCGAACACGCCTGTACTTTACATCAGTAAGTGAAAACTTGTAATTGAATTGTGTTGTAATTCTACTGTATTTTCAAGCTGCTGTTCGTACTTTTGGCCCAAGGGAACTTTCTGGCTGACACGAGAGCAGCATCTTGAAGATCAAAATTAATAAATAAATAAATATGTAGCTTATAATTTTGGTTGAGATGGTTCACGTAACTTAATTATTGTAAAAACTAGTTAGCAAAGATCAAACTCTGAATCAAATTTTATTTATCAAACATGGATGGTTAATCCAAATCTTGGAGTTTATAAACAGTTTATGTGTGAATGAGAATAATCTATCACATCAAAGAATTTTCTCAGTTTTCTTCAGCTGACTCATTCTGTCATAGATAACTATTTAATATGCCTGTGATGTGGTATTTCTCTCTTTGAACTTATTAACTCTACTTATTTTATATGATTAGATTTTGTTTAGACACTGTAGTGTCATGAACCTTTTGTTTACTGTTATTTTCTCTATTTAGATTTTTCTCTTTTTCCCCCTCTTCTCTTCTCCAAATTCTAGTTTACCAATTGTTTGACTTGACAGGAGTCGCATATTCATTCTTTGATGAATGTTCTTCGTTATTGTAATCTGGATGAGTCTCTTCAAGAAGAGGCCAGCCTTGTCTGCGACAATGCTTTGGATCGCTTGTTCAATACCAAGGAGCTGGATTACATGAGTTATATTGTACTGAGGATGTTCGAGAACACAGAGGTTTGTACATTCGTTTATACTACTGAAGCACAAAAAAAAATGAAAAGGCAGGATAAGTTGTGAATCAGTATTTTGGTGTACCTTAAATATATGGAAGCTACTTTCTGTTTTTCTTTGGGTGTTTTGGAGAATTGGGTGGGAAAGAGAACTAGGCAGACTCAACACAGCCATAACTCTGCACCTTTCTCTTATGTTTTTGCAAGCAAAGAGGTTATCTTAAATGTGATAGTGTTCTAAAGAACAGAAATCATATAGTAATCCCCTCGTTTTTTTATTTGTAAGTAAAAAAGATGTGTTATTTTCGAATATTTTGAGCATCACTGAACTTCACCAGAAACTTTCCCAATAGAACCGACTCCTCAACGCCCCTGTCCCCCACCCCATATCCCTGGGGAAAAGTCAGGTATGATTCTGACATTTTTGGACTTTGCATATGAATCGATGACAGCAATGTTAGCGGAGTATCGTATATTCCAGAAGATTTTAGGTCTGAAGTTCCTACTTAAACTCTTTGGTTTGAAGACACAGTGTCTGGGATGAACACTTGATTAGCCTTGTAGCAACATGTGATGTAATAGTGTTTTTGTCTGATGCGGAACTCCTGATAGATGTCTGCCGGATTCATATTGTATCCATTTGGTGCAGGTGGCTTTGGAAGACCCTAAAAGGTTCCGCATAGAGATGGCCTTTAGCCGTGGTGCTGATCTATCGCCACTGGAGGTAGTATGTTTTTCTATTTCACGAAATGTAATTGAAAATTTGATCTTTACAATAAATCTCTGACTGCTATAACCACCAATAATGCCATCTCATTTTGGTGAATGCCTATGCTAAGCTGTGTTAGAAATGAGAAACTCCGGCTTTATTTTTGTTCCATGTTTTTGTAGAAAAATGATGAGATAGCTGCTTCATGGCATCAAGAGCACACATTGCCAATAATGGGTCCTGAAAGGCTTCAAGAAATTGGTTCATATCTTACATTGGAAAACATGGAAAATATGATTCGTCCTTTTGCCATGCCGGCTGAAGATTTCCCACCACCATCAACTCCTCAAGGATTCTCAGGCTACTTCTCGAAAAGTGCATCCGTTCTAGAGCGCCTGGTAAAAATTTGGCCATTCCACAAACATGGGAACACTAACGGGAAGTAGTGCAATTTCTTCCCTGTTGGATGGTTCTGCTCTCAAACTGAGGTTTGGAGATTATTTTCTCTAAGTGCTTTGTCACAATCAAATCAAGAATCAGTAACAGCTGAAGAATTCCAGAAGAGAAGCTATAATGTCGATTATCGTTCTTTTAGATGTGCTTTTTCCTTCTCTCTCTCTCTCTCTCTCTCTCTCTCTCTCTCTCTCTCTCTCTCTCTCTTCTCTTCTTCCATCATTCATTCTTGTAGATAGCAGAAAATTTTGCAGTGACCTTTAGCTCCGGCGGGAAGCTCACAGCCTACATTTATAACAGAGTGAGCCTAAAATGTAAATGTGCTCTGCTATGAATTCTTGTTTGCTAGTTAATCTTATAAGTCTTTTGTTTCTTGCTTAGTTATGACTATTCTCGTTCTACTGATATTCGTGTGATGATGCGTTGATAAGAAGCAGGAAGTTCCTGAATAATTGTTATCGTCCGACCAAATATGAGATCCTATTATTGAATCTTTCTCCCAAAAACTTTTCTCCAGTTAACCGCAGTGATGAATATAACTTGTCTAAAGTTGGTAATAAAGCATTATATTGGATTGAATATAAGAATCGTCATTTTGACTTTTCAATAACAAGTGACATCGTCAAATAGCCATGGACTGGTGGATGAGAGCGATACTATAAAGAGTTAAATGTGAATTTACTATATCTTGTGTCGGTTTGACCTTTACATGACCAATGACATGCCGAAAATCCGGCGGTGGGGGTGTGAGTGACAGTGAGGACGGAGAAAATTGCTTTGAATATGTCACTACACCCTTTACGTCAGTCTCATGTCACTTCTGCAAAATTGCCATTCGGAATTCATTGTTATAGACTCAAAAGATAAAAGAGAAAAACTAAAAGAAAACAGCGACACAATGGTGAAGAATGATAGTAGTTCACTCTTTTCTCATTTCGCATATTTAATGTCATTTACTGATTCTCTTTTCAGCTATATTTTGAATTTTGTTTATGCAATAACGAAGAAAAATGGTCGGGGTATAATATAATTGTATGTATAGCAATTTCCCGAAAATTACAGAACGACACATGAAAAGCGCCGAAAGAGATTCAAAGTGGGAAACGTACAAAAAGACTACCATACGATCATTGGCGAAAAGTCGAAAACTAGTAAAAAGGGCTAAAGGGGAAATAAGAAAGCCATTAATTTGCCTATTTATGACTGATTGAGCTTTTAAGTTTCATTTAGTCACTGATAATGCCAACGCCTCCAACTTCTGAAGCCTTTCACGAAGTTTTACATTTTCAGCCATGATAATTCCAAGATCTTGCCAACGTTGCTTTGATACCAGTTGTTACAGGGTCGATTTGTTTCGTATTGACACTGCACGGCCATGGGCGGATTTATATGGACCCAAGCGATATCACGGGATACCGCTTACTAGCCTGATGGTTATTAACTCTTGGAATTGAGTGAGAGGTTAGGTGTTCGAACTCCCATAGCGGCAACCAATTCTTTTTGACTCTTTCACTTAATTTAAAAACATGGACTGCTATTGTCAAAAGCATGGGATCCACTTAAAAACTATTTGACCCAATACCCATTGTACAAGAAATCATTAACCCTTTTGACATGGGATTAAAACCCTTTCCTTCAAAATAAAAAGAAATATTGAGTTGCCCACTTTTCAAACTCCAAAGAAGCGGTGGAAGTAAATTATTCCAGGTTAGTAATAAATCTCTCTCTCTCGAGATGATTACTTTTGCTAACTGATTTTGTTTTTCCTTTTTATTTGTTTATGAACAAAACTATGAATTTGTGATGTTAATTTTGAATTTATGATTAATTTTTGTTGGGTGTCTTTACTGATTTTGGAGGTTAATGAAATTTTGGGTTATTGCCTTATTGAAGACGAACAATTTTATAGTTATAATAAACTTATTTAGGGTTTATCTAAAGATTAAAGTAGGTACTTGAATTTTTTATTCAGATTAAATTACAATGAAGAGGAACTTTCCTACAACTTCCAAAGTTCCAAAATCAAGTTCAACATCTCAAGATTTATCTAACTTGGAAGAAAGAGCTAATGAGTTGGTACAACATCAACAAAGCGAAAGAGTTAATTTAAGCTCCTTAGAGGTTGATCCAGGGGAAAGATTAGCAATTCGAAAATATCACCCAAATGACCATGATGCAATAAGAAGAAAGTATCTTCAAAGAGGTCCTTTCCAACCTCGAGAGCACAAATTTCCTCAAAGAATTTTTTATGGTAAATTGCGTCTCTTTAATCCTCAATGGTTTGATGAGTATGATCGATTGGAATATAGCATAACAAAAGATGCAGCTTTTTGCGTATATTGTTATTTATTTCAAGATGAATGCATCAATCAAGGGGGAGGAGATGTATTTTCAAGTGTAGGATTTACAAGTTGGAACAAGAAGGATAGATTTGATACGCATATTGGTAGACCAAATAGTATTCATAATCAGTCAAGAAGGAAAGGTGATGATTTGATGAGACAAAAACAATCTATTTAAAGTGTACTTGCGAAACAATCTGATCAACAAAAGTTAGAATATAGGACTCGTTTAGAGGCTATGATTGATGTGATAAGATATCTTTTGCACCAAGGATTATCATTTCGAGGGCATCGTGAAGATGAATCATCTTTTAATAGAGGTAACTATATTGAACTTCTTAGATAGTATATTAAAAGATGTGATCGTGTTGCTGATGCATTTAAAAGAGCTCCAAAACATAATCAATTGACTTCTCCATATATTCAGAAGAATATTATTATTACATGTAAGATGGAAACAATTAAGTGTATCATTGAGGATTTAAATAGTGATCACTTTTCCATATTAGTTGATGAATCTCGTGATGTATCATGTAAGGAGCAAATGGCTATTGTTTTGCGGTATGTTGATAGAAGGGGAAGTGTGATGGAGTGATTTATTGGTATTGTTCATGTTCGGTGCTTTGTCTCTAAAGAAGGAAATTGTTGGTTTACTTGCTCAACACTCTTTAAGTCCATCTTCTATACGTGGACAATGTTATGATAGAGCAAGCAATATGCAGGGTGACTTAAATGGGCTTAAAAGCTTAATGCAAAAAGAAAGTAGAGGTGTTCATTCTATTCATTGTTTTGCTCATCAACTCCAACTAACTCTTGTTGTGGTTTCTAGAAGATGTGATGAAGTGCAAGAACTTTTATTAGTTGTTTATGATATATAAAATATGGTGGGATCTTCTTTCAAGCGTAGAGATGAACTTCGTGAATCCCAAGCGGAAGAAATTGAAGAAGCATTACGTAAAGGTGAGCTTGAAACTGTGAGGGGGTTAAATCAAGAATTAGGTCTTGGTAGGGCTGGTGATACTCGATGGGGATCTCACTACAAATCCTTTAACAATTTTATTCTTATGTTTGGCCCTATCACTGATGTACTTGATGCTATTGATGTTAATGCACGTTTTGAAGAAAAGTGTAAGGCGAACGGATATGTTAAAGCATGTTTAACATTTGAGATTGCCTTCATGTTGTATTTTATGCGTACTGTTTTAGCAATTACAAATGGGCTTAATGTTGCCTTTCAAAAGAATGAGCAAGATATTGCAAATGTTGTGATACTTGTTAGAGTGGCAAAGGATCGGTTGCAACTACTGAAAGAGGACGGTTGGGCTTCACTTATTGATGAAGTATCTAAGTTTTGTATCAAATATGATATATTGATACCTAACTTTGATGAGCCTTATATGATCCTTGGAAGATCACGTCGTAGAGTTGCAGAGTACTACTCTATTTTACATCACTATCGTGTTGTAGTGTTTTGTAAAACTATTGATTGACAATTTTATCGCTTTGATGAGGTGTGAATTGCTTCTTGGAGTTGCTTGCTTGAACCCGGTTAACTCTTTTTCAAGTTTTGACATTGAAAAGATATTAAGATTGGCTGAGCTATATCCTGATGATTTTGATAAATATTCTATAGTTGACCTTCGTTTTAAGCTTGAGAATTACATTGTTGATGTTCGGGATCATGACAAAAGGTTTTCTGATTTTACGGGACTTGGTAATCTTTCCAAGAAACTAGTAGAAACAAAGAAGCATGGGACTTATCCTCTTATGTTCTGGCTAGTGAAATTTGCTTTACTTTTGCCGGTTGCTACGGCTACGGTTGAAAGAGCTTTCTGTGTTGTTTGGTGCCTTATATAGAAAAAGATGTATTTAGTAATATTTCTAATGAGGCTATTATGGATACATTTCAAAACAAGAATTAGAATTTATTTACTCGTTTATTCACTCTTTAAATAGTGAAACCGCTTGCCAAAAATTCTGCTTATGCCACCGTGCACGGCAGTCACACAACAATGACCCAGCCCTCTTTCTTTTTCCCTCACGTTTTGGCCTCTAACACTTAGATTATGACAGCATAAAGAAATCAGACAAGGCACACAGCTTACAGGAATTTCATGCATTTATGTAAAGCTCATGTTCAGGATTAAACTATAAATAAGACCATTCCAAACACAAACTTAGAAACATTGTTTTCAATTTCTTTTTTGGGTGGGGAGGGAGAATGATAAAACACGCACACACACACGCACAGAAAATTGAGCATGAAAAACTGGAAAAGACTTCAAAGAGATCCACCATAGTCAAATCTCATCAGTATTACGTTACATCACAATACGGTAGAGACAAAGTAGAAATGATGCTTTTCTTTTTCTGTTAACTTATTGGATATGAAATGTAGCTCGATAATTACTAGGCAGCAAATTTAGGAGCTTCTCTGTGCTTGAGAATCTTCTTCTCGAGCTCATCTTTCTTAGCCCCAACCACTCTCTCTACTTCTTTTCCTTGCTTCAGCAGCAAAAATGTTGGCATAGCTTGCACTCCAAACTCTTTTGCTACATCCTATTTATTTTAAACACCAAAGAAACAAAATCAATCACTTCAATCATAGCTGGATCTAAAATTTTAAATCAATTTCTATTGTGCCATAATAATATGTATATTGTTAATTATATTTCAGATTTCACGTACTGAGAGCTCATCGACGTCAATTTTGACGAAGTCAACGTCGGTATACTTGGCAGACATGGCGTTAACAACCGGCTCCATCATCTTGCAGGGCCCACACCATGTAGCCGCAAAATCCACTACTATCTGGCAATTAGGTTAATCGATCGAAATCAGATCTCTCGAAATTAAACCCTAAAATTTTGCATAGCGAATAGATAACAGAGTGATACCAGTTTATTTAATTGCTTTGAGGAATTGAAGTGAAGTTGCCACCGATTGGAAGAATGAAAAGCAATCACACGCGACGGTTCTGACGACGATCCTGATTCTGCCTCTGCCGCTTCTGCCGCGCCTCCGCCGAGCAAACTTGAAAGATACGACCCCATCGGATTCTTCACTCACTCTCTCTCTCTCTCTCTCTCTCCTTACGCACAAAGTAATCAAAATAGGGAAGAAACTACTGAGCCAGTAACAATAGCGCTGCTTTTATATTACGCGCGGCTGCTATTGTCAATTGGATTTTTGCTTTAGCTTAGTTGTCACAATGCTATTGGTGTCTCTTAAAACTTAGGAGTCCTTGCTTTCTCCAAGTTGTAACGACTATTTAAAATCCGACTAAATTGAGGAAGTATCACATTTCCGGGAGATTTGACACTTTATGTTTATATAAAGTGGATCTATTATGACTCGCGTAAATATAATGCATTCAAAAATATTATTTTTGTTAAGTGGTCTAATAAAGTACAAATATAAATTCATTATCCATGATTAAGTGATAGAAGCATGTAGTCAAACACGTTCACACATTTATTAATTTGGTGTAGACACCCGATGAGATCTTGAATGATTTTAGTTTAGGTCTATTACATCTAAATCACCTAAAGTGTTTTATTATGTCATAAATAAAGTTTACAATCACCTTAAAGCTCTTTCCTTAACAAAAGAACTCTCTAATGATTTTTTCAAAATCGGAGAGGCATAAAGTGTTAGAAATTATCTTTGGTACGTTGTTGGAAATATATTGATTCCTTGAAAGTATAGTAATTACTGAAGACTATTAATACTAATTAAACTGTCAGGCCAAGAGAAAAGAAGAACAAGAACTTTAAAAAAAAAAACTTTTTAAATACATATATCAGGCCATTGTCAAAGGGGAAGTTAGTGGTAACTTGGATTCAAAACTATGCGTAAAAACGCTACACAAAGTTGTCTTTAAAGTGCAAAACAGCAAAATATCCTACGAAGGAACTATTCTCATATAATTATTTTGGGAAGCTTTGCCTGTGAAAAATCGACCAGATACTAGTACTAGTAAAACAAAGGAGAGACGTTATACTGGTAAACACGCAAATATGATCCTTATGATTTTATTCCTGCTGCATACAGTTAGCTCAAGCCTCTGAGCTCGCTTCTAAAAGCTTTTAATAAATAAACCAGTCCCACGAAGATCTTTTTCGATCTTTTAGCTTCGGCTGAACTTGCAGGACCAATAGCTTAACAACTTGATGTAGGATCTGCATTCTTCAGTAGCCCAAAATCTCTCCACGGTTGAGAATCGAGAGTACAGAAGAAACAAAGACATTATATGAAAAGACTAGACATTCTCTCCTTCGGAAATAAAGGAAAAGAGACATTGCACGAAAACATGATAAAACTATTATCACCACCCCATTTCTTCCTAGCCTTTCTCCCAGCTATACACATAATTCAGAAAATTCATAAGGCCAATTCCACTTGTCCCCTAAACTAAGGGGATTTGGCCATTTTACCAGTACGATGTCAAAGCCCATTTGGGAGATTCTTCATTGAAATGGAACAGGTGCTCCTTGCTTCTTATTCACAATAGCCATTGCTAAATATCTGGTGCCCATTCCAATAGGAGCCTGCTCCTCAGGACCCTCCCAGAATGGAGCCTCGCCTTCACCCACCAAACGCCAATAACCTGTTCTTAAAGAATCAGCTTGTTCATCTGTGCAGTTCTCCAGCAATGCCTCAACTCGAAAATTGATTCCAAGTGAACCAAGAAACTGAGACTGAGTCATTGGGCCATGCACAGACACATCATCTGCAAAGTTGATCATTTGAACAATTAAATTAAAATTGCACTTTTACCACTAAAACTTTAGCTTGAGAATATAGAATACAACTGTATGCCACTAGAGTTAAGAAGATTCTGGTGCAACCTACCTGAAGCTTCCTCTGCAGAGTGCCTGATGGCAGCAAAGTCAACATAAGCACTAAGATCAGCAGTTCCAGGATTATCCAGTATATTGACAAATTCATGTTTCCGGATAGCCTGTATGATAGATAGAGAATAAGCAATGTGATCAACAGACTCTAATGCTTAATCATGATAGAAAACAAAATTTCCTCTATTACCAAAATCACATACAAGTAAAAGTAACTGCTCATATTTCATGTCATAGAATAAGATTAGTTCCCTCTTCCCCTAATTGCATATTCATAGTTTTGACTTTAAACGGTTACTAACATAAGAGTTCAAAAGTTGTAGATGCATAATGTTTACCAGGATACTTGTATTCCATATACCATGTTATTACTACGGGATAGTTTAGATGGAGCGTCATAGACAGTAAGGATTTCATATAAATTGAGGCGTAGTTGTTGTTGTTGTGTAATGCATGATAACACAAAAAGGGAAGTGAAATTCAATTTGGATGGAAAACTAAATCTTAAGAAAAAATAGTCTGTTTTCCTCTTAAGCTGAAACATAACATTGAATTTGAAAGGTGGACAACTTAGGATCTTTGATACACTAGCATTTATTAGACAATATGCACCATAGAACTTTTTGCTATTGATCACCTAGTAATCTAACAAGAAAAAATATCGACCCTATGTCTGGCCCAATCCGAGATTGAGCATAGAGAAATAGAGATGGCACTTTCTCAACCAGTTTCTTGGTCCAACCACAGTTCCCACTTTCTATGCAAATGGAAGCAAAGGCAAAAGCAAATGGATTGAGCTAGCCAAAAAAAGGAAGCAGGAAAGAGTACTTTTAGTATTGCAACTGACCTGAAGGCTGTCTGAGACTATTCCATTTAGCCCATAATCAATAATGAGAGCCCCACCACCATCTGAGCCAATTCTTTTAGCAATTTCTAGAGTCAAATCCATTGCTTTGGGGCATAACTCAACTTGTTCAAGCTTGGCTATTTCTTCATTCTCAGCCCATTTGAAGCGCTTCAGAAGATATAGAGTTGTAGGGGTAGGCTGTGCAGATAAAACAAACTGAAACCTATCCAGCAAAGTACAACAAGAAGTTACAGACAGCCAATACTACAAGAAATTAATGTACGGATAGCCAAATGATAGACTAGGTTGGAACCTTACATTGAATTTTCAGAAACATCAACCATTTTCTCACACCAGCCTCGAGATGCTCTCTGCATGTATATAAAGAAATCAAGCTGATGCTCGCAACACCACAATACATGCTAAGCCAGATAGAAAATAGATCCTTAATTTATACTTCCATAGGCACAAAATTAAGATCCTAAAGAGCCACCTATCAAATTTTCCACACTGTAATTGTAAAACCATTTCCAGGATATAGGGAAATCAAGCCGATGCTCACTATACTAATAATACGTGCTAAGCTTGATAGACAAGATATTTCATTTAAATTTCCTTTTGTTTTCTTTTTTTTTTTTTTTGGGGGG